GCCATATTGAAAAATCTCTGTCTACTTGTGTCTCCTCTATTAAACTATAAGCTCTGGGAAGGCAGAAACTATATTCTGTTTACAATTGTAAGCCAGTGCCTAGATGGGTAGATTCTGGATAACTTGTTGACTGAATAAACAGTTATCGAATGTTACACTGGCAGCAGCATCACCACCACCACCATCACTATCACTATCGTCACCACGACTACGGCACCAATCACCATCACCACCACCACTCATACCTCCACCACTCCTATTGCCACCATTATCATCACAAATTCACCACCATAACCACTGCCATCAGACCGCAATCCCAAAGGATTGGGAAACTCTTTCCCAGGAAGACAGGGAGCCTGGCTGTTGAGAGTCCTGTGATTTTCATCTTGCCATACTTGTTGCCCCTCTTCAGAATTCACCTACTCTGGACCCCATTCCTTGAAGGCTTTACTCTTTTCTAGGTGACAGCTATTCCATTTGATGCAGTAATGTGTTACTGGTAGTAATGTTTTGGCAGTGGCCCTCTAAAGCAATATGGCCTGAGACTATGGACAATATCCACTTTTAGCTTAGCTACTTACCTGCTAGGTGTCCTTGAGCAAATTACACCACCTAGAAGACCCCTGGACAGTCTTCCAGATTTTATGTGCTAGTTTCAGTACAGATCTTCTATGGTTCAAATCTTAATCCACAAGGATAGTTCTGCACTGAGGTGAGACATGCAGGGATTTCAAGGTGACTAAGCAAGCAGTTAACTGCAGTAACTGAGGACACTGCTGCAGCAGCCGTGTGTCCCTGGGGAAGTCCCCTGGCATGTCCTATCATCACTGCCAGGTCCAATCTGTCCTGGAGCAGAAGCAGGCATGCACAGGTAACCACCCAGCAGTAATGACAGGCAACTGCCACTGTCGTCCTTCTCCCTAGGACCATGCTGTTCTCATCACAAAATGCCATGGCACAACTGTTCTGATGTTCTGACTGGGAGCTCAGAGCCCGTGTCTGGCTGCTTCATAGCGATTTAGGGGTGGAAATGGAATGCTTTATTCATGCCATGTAACTGATGTAAGCTTTCAGATGACACAGGCACCCTTCTTTACTTTTTTTGGCACATTTCCTGGCAATTCTCTTGGTGGGGGCTGCCACATTAGAAACGAGATAGAAGGAAAACAGCAAATGAGGGATATAATTTAAAGGACAAAGTATAACTTTTGGTAAGTTTCTTCTTTTTTTTCTGATTTCCCCTTTCTTTTCTCTCTTATCTAAACCTATGCATTGGTGAAATGCACCACTCAGTACTCAGAAGAACCCAAATACAAGTTAGCCTATGTGAGGCTGTAACATCTCAAGCCCACTCCTCAGACCATGGGATTGCAGGATTTTACACTTTTTCCCCTCGGAAAGTCCAGCAGCCTGAGTCTGTCCAGATTGTCACCAATTTTCCCCATTTTCATATCAAAGCAAAAATAACAGCAACCCCCGATAACAAGAGGAGATACAGAGTTTATAAAGGAAAAGATAGAAGCAAAGAGAGCATTGAGATCGTTGCTACCTAAGGGAATTAGAAATGTAGCTTGAGTCAGAAACAAATTTCATTTTGAAGACGAAGAAGTGAGAGCTGGAGTTAAAGCCTTTGCCCTGGGTTACATGGTACACGTTTAGAGTAAAGACAAGAGCCAGGGCTCAGTATTCTGACCTAGGCCAGCTCCTGCCCATATGATGGTACCTCCACTTTCTCTCCACCAGAGGAATGAAAACCAGCAGTTTCTGAGCAAATTAAGATTGATTTTCTAGGCAGGCAAAAAGGCAGTGGTAGTTGCACTCCACAGGCAGGGAAACTGAGCAGCAGAGGGGTTTGATTTTGTGGTCCTCCTAAGGGGTGATTTTCCCTCCGAAGGAATATTTGGAAATACCTGGAGACATTTTGGATGTCATAACTGGTGTGTTTGTGGCTGGGGGGTGCTAAAGACGTGTCTTGGGGAGAAGCCAGGGATGCTGCTAAACCTTTTGCCATACACAAGACAGCTCTGCAATGGATCCTCACCCAAGGCCAGAGTGCTACATAGACCATAAAGATTCTATCTGTGGATTGTGCACTTCAAATCCAAGTTTGTATTATTGTCATCATTAGCCAAGTTTGCATAATTTGAGCCATTTTCTGTGCTCTTTTGGTGATAGGCACAGCCTCTTCCCTGCAGTTCTTTGCCAACTGCCATTGCTAACCTTGGTCATGACAGCAGTAAGCAGATTTGTCCATCAACCCCCAGTCACATGCTCCTGTGTCCCGTGCTCCACTTTTTTTTTTTAAGTGAACTCTACCTTTTTTGAGAGACCTAACCAGGGATGGGCTGCCCGTCCTCACTCTTTTCTGGCAACACCTGTTCTCAGGAACATCCTGGCTACTGTCTTCCTTATCTTTGCATCCATCGAAGTCAATGTGCTTCTATTCCAGGAGGGTTAGTATTTTTCAGGTGTCTCTCTTCTGGTACTCATGCTCCGTAAGAGGATCTGCCAGCCTCCGTGGCCAGGCTGAGAAGCATTTCAGAAGGATTCAGGGCACACCTGTGAGCTGGCTCAGTGTGACCTAGGCCTGCGCGCCACCCCCGGAGAACACAGACACAGGCCCATGTACATGGCAATCGGAATTCTGGGTCGACTTTCCCAACTTCAAACATCTTGCTGGGCTCTCTCAATACATTTCTTTATATTTCAAAGTAAATCCTTAAGTCATCTGAAGGGCTTTTTTCTTTGTACTTTAACTGCATTTGGAAATTTCATGATAAATTTCTTGGATTCAGGAACAGGAGGAGAACTGCCAGAGTGATCAGAAAATAGTTGATATGTTTTTTCTAAGTGTCATCTTTTCATTGACTTATTTTTTTGAAGGCTCCATATTTTAGTTTTAAAATCATTATAAGTGAATGGATTTTGGAAAGACTCACAGAGCTCTTCTAAGGGTTAAAGGAGATAATAGATGTGAAAGGGTTTGGTAAACCATCAGATTTCTTGTATATATAAACAATGGTGTGGTGTAAATGGAGATACTGTTCAAAATCTCTCAAGGCAAGACCTTGCCCTCTTACACCCAAGGTGTCCCCTTCCCCAAGCTAAATCAAACTGGAACCAAACTATTCCCCAAATTCTTTTTCTCTGTTTCCAAACTTTGCAATTGGGATATACATTCTCAAAATTAGAACTTCATAGGATTTTTATCATTAATGAAATTGCAAAGCAATTGGTATTTAGTATTATGTACTTAATTCAGCATTTAACGGCGTCCATTTGGCCAGGTGTCACTATGGATGGTATTGGGTTAGATGCTCCTTTTTTGCTTACTTTTTATACTGGTTTATGTCAGGAGCTGATTTCTGGATTCATAAAAATATGACATGTGAATAACTTAGGTGGAGAAGTAAGCCATTTTAGAATGTTGAGAAGGAATTAATTTATATTTAACTGTTCCTAGCTAATACTTCCTTTCTCATGGCAAACTCATCATGGTAACTTCCAAGGGGAAGAAACAAGAGAGAAGTCATGGGTTCAAAGAAGGAAAAACAGTGATTGAGTGACTGCAGATCTAACATATGTTCTTATAAATGATATTACATAGACCCCAAGTCTTTAGAACTCACTGCCTTTTCATTATACAATAGAAACAACCAAAAGAAAGCAACACTGCCTATTTACTTAGTTTGGTACCAGTGATCGAACCTAGTGTCTCACTCATGTCAGGCATGTTCTCTACCCCTGAGTTGCACTCCCATACTCACAATACTTTTATATCCTTGTGTCTACCTTCACTTTTAAAGCTTTATTGTGCCTTAAATTTACATGTAGCTTAGTTCTTAATAGAACAAAAATCACCCTTCTTAACAGCTAACCAAAAATCATGCTCAGCCTAATGCATGTTAACAGTATTGATATTTTTAACTCAAAAGAATATAGAAAGCAAACTCCAAGATAAATTTTTCCAGCAAAAATTTTTAGAAAACTAAAGAACATTAATAATATAAGGTTTTTCAAAAAATTTCAACAGCTTTTGTATGAAATCCAGCCTATCTTAACATTTTTTCCAGACATATTCTGCTCCTGAAAGATACTTTCGAGCACCAAAGGCTGACTCTACATGATGGGTATATCAGCATAGTCCAGGCCTACACCAGCATCACATTTGATTTGCTTCTACCCCTGACCCCAGCCATACCACTCAAGGGAGTTCCATGTCCATTTTTAACTGCTACCCTTCTTAAAGACATTTTAAGATCTCCCACAGACAGCAGCAAGAAAAATAGATCAGGTCTAGATTTGGAATCAGTAGGGCTGGGTTCTAGTGGAAACTTTGTCACTGACAAATTGTCATCACCCCATTTCCTTACTTATAAAATGCATGAGGGCTGGGGATTTAGCTCAGCAGTGCGGTGGCCTGCCTTGCAAGTGCAAGGAACCGAGTTCAATTCCCAGTACCAGAAAAAAAAAAATGGCACGAGTAATGCCCACCCTATTTATCTTGTAGGATTACTTGGAGAATCAATACCCACTTTACAAGTGATAAATTCCTCTGGTGAGGTATCATTGTGATAAATGCTAGGATAACATATAGCTTATATAATCTATCTCTCACTAGATACAAATGTGCTATATCTTGCATATCTTCATGTTCCTTGATGTCTGATAGATTGATCATTTGATTGTAGTCACTGACATTTTTGTTGTGATCACTTTTCAGTCCCCACACAAGAGATTCTTTAGAATAACTACTCAGTGGTATCATGATATCCATCATCATTTGTCTGAAGTCAAAGTTGTATGGTATTGAGATAAAAGTTTTTGTTTTATAGCATGAGGCAAGCTCAGAGAATTCAAGAGCTGTTCTGGTGTCATAACTTACATTCTTAGAAATAAAAACTTATTAAGTGCAGTCACTATTTCAACACCTCTTAATGAACTACACTGAGGCATATGGTGTGTGTAATGGACTTTAGTCACCAGTAGCCACCACTCACCATTGCAGACCCAACACGGCTGACTTTGATGGGGTTTCCTCTACCAGAAAGATCCATTTGTGCTTTGTCCATCACATATAAGCAAGCGTCAAGGATGCCATCTTCAAACTGGGGAAAAATGGGAAACGACTTAATAGTTATTATACAAGCAGAACATTCTCTGAAGCTACAACCTAATGGGTAGAAATATGTATTTCCTCTGTAATGGTCTCCTATGATCTTTACTATGAACTGAGAGTGGAAGGAAGGGGATATTCTATTTTATATTTCAGTAAAGTAAAGAAGAGCATAACAAAATGCCAGAAATACAAAGAGAGCTGGGGGGTGGATACTAGAGAGCTGATGTACTCAAGTGTTGGGGCACCAGAGGACGGACGGCTGAAGCGCTGACCCCGAGTCACGGAATGCTGGTTCTCACCGGGGCACAGGTATCCTGAAGGTGACGTGCTGGAGCCAAGTCCCTTGACCTACAACCCCCTAATCTCTCCTTTATTCCTATTTCTGTTTCATACTCCCTTTTAGTCATAAACAGATGTTGTTTTATCTAGATGTTATGTCTTTAGTATGAACAATGTGTATCTGCTCGTAACTGCTGTTAATCATCAAACCACTGTGATCATGCTTTTGTGTGTGGCCTTGAAACTAGTATATAACACCCTGTGTCAGAAATAAACTTTGCCATTAGCCATCAGCTTTTGGTCATTCATTGTGTCCGCGGTCGTCTCCCCGAGTCCCCTCCTCTAGAAGGAGACCTCTACAATCAAGGATCACAAGAGAACTTAGACGTTCTTCAGAAAAATGTACAAGTTAATTTATAAGATCTCTTCAATATATTGGCTGCAGTGTCCAAGGCAAGGAATGTATGGTGTATTAAAATCAGTGCCATGCCATACAGCTTCAAAAGCAACACGAGTCCTTGGGTGTCTCCCAAAGAAACAGCTCTGCAGTGTACGACAGGAAGCTACTTCAGGTCCATTTAATCACACCCAACAGCAAAAGAGGCCTCATTTCATGAATGACCTCTACGGTTTCCATTTTTTTGAGAAAGGTGGCCCCTCAGGGTAACTACAGAAAGGCTCGGAATACATAGATTGCACTATCACGGAAAAAGCCAGTTCAATTTCCTTAGAAAAAATCACTGGCTACAGGCAATACCAGAATGTTCTTAGAAGGGAGAAAGGACCAAGATGAGATTAAAATATCAAAATGGGGTGATTTTACCTATACTGTACTACAGTGTTAAATACAGAAGCCACCTGAATGCTTGATAGAGACCTCAATGTTAATAGCTAATTACCATGTAACTACTTATTAAATCTGGTTACAACTCTTGGAGAGCTCCAAACTGATCGGGTAGTTGGAATAATCTGTAAACTCACTAGTTTTTCAGGTGTATAAATTATTCTGATCCTCATTAAGGAGTATTTCTCAGTCATGTTTGTAGAACACAATAGCAACTAACCAGAGAGCTAAAGAAATGGTCACAGAATTCATTCTTTTCCTGCATCAATTCAAACAACCGACTTGTTATTTTGGCAGAAGAACCCAAGTCAATGGTGTCTTTGAAAGATGGTGGAAGCAAGGCTCATGCACAAAGGACCTCCCTGAAGGCTTGCTGGCCAGACTCCCTTAGGACACCATCCTAATTCTTCTTGCTACCCACTTTGACACTCTCTCTCACCAGCTATCTGTAGAGTGGTACACTGGAACCATAAACAGAATCTCACCTCCATAGCTTGGATATGGATCAGAAGTGTCCCTCCAAGTTTTCTGTGCCACACTTGTGGTTGTCAGAGGGATGATACTGAGATGGTGGTGGCCACTTCAAGAGGTTGAGCCCAATGCAAGGTAATTAGGTCATGAAGACACAGCCTGCAGAAAGGATTAATACCAGTCTCCAAGAGGAGTTAGTTCTCAGGAGAGCATGGTGTTATAAAGTGAGGCCACTCTGTGTGCTTGGTCTCTTCTGTTTCTCCACTTTGATTCTCCACCGTGTTGTGCTACAGCCAGGCCCTCATCAGAGTCTGATCAGATGGGTTTTCTGGTCTGAGGCATTTAGACTTTTGGCTCCCAAAATGTGAGCTAAATAAACCTATTTCCCTTATGAAATATCCAGTCTCAGGTATTCTATTATAGCAAAAGGCAAAAGACTAAGACAGCACCCAAAGGCTGGGAAATGGGGACCCAAGACAAGGGTACCAGATAGGCAGTAGTCACTGAAGAAAGGAAGGCTTCCTTGAGAAGCAAAAATCTAAAAGCTGGGCAAGTAATCACAGATCACACCCTGTCAGGACCTGAGAAATGCAGGCAGACAAGCCCATGAGGGTGTAATTCTCAAGAGTCAGGGGAAGCTGGTCACAAAGCTGAGGGGATGTGCAGAGAGACAAGAGCTCATGACGACATGGGTGCCAGTACTTGGGCTGGAGCTGTGGCCCAGAGGACCCCATATGGAAGTCAAAGCAGGGCTCCAAGAGCCAAGGAGGTATCACATGAGCCAGTGTGGCCAGATCACACCAACCCCTTCCTCTGGAGACCTGGAACAGTGATGCACAATTCCCATTATCGCAGACTGAATGTTCTGAGAAATGATACACTCACCACCGCCTCTTATGCTGGTAATAAAATACCATTTTTGAATCATAGAACATGCATTCATTTATGGAAATATGGAAAAATGTCATTCATTTGCACCATTGAAATTGAAACAGTTTGACTTATGTAATATTGAAAAGAAAAAAAAAGAGTTGCTATTTTAAATCTATCCAGTAACTTGAAGCTGTAGTTGATAAAATGTCTCTCTATAAAAAGCCCAGTAGACTCTCCTTTGAAAAAATAATAACACACTTTTCTAATTAATAGTGTTCTAGACTAACACCCCCCCACCAAAGAAAAAGATTGGACACACTCTTCAATATTCATTGCATCGTTATCAAAATATCTTTTATAAGAAATTCAGTCCACTTCAGGCTGAACCAGTAAGTTTTCACTGTACTAAGATCCCAACGTATTTCTCAACAGAATGCCACGTTATCCACAGAATCTCTGATCTCGGCAACATTGCAATAAGTGGAAGATACTTGGGTTCAGCTGATAAATTATGAAATTATCTTTATAAATCTACACCTGTGTACTCTATCTTAGAGTTTTAGATCCTGAAAAGCAGGAAATTGTACTGGTTTAACATCAATATATGGCATCCTACAGTAATATATGTGACAAAAAATATTAAGTAAAAACGTCCTTGGCAATGACAAATCTTATTTTATTTGTTTTTTTCCTTGTTTCTTTATTGGTACATTTTAGGTATACAATACAGCTACATTCATCATTGGGATCTAGTACCCTTACATGATGTGTCTTGGTTTTTATTTTTCCCCATTCCCCTCCCCCTCCCTTTGCCCCCCTCCACACTACTCTATTTCCAAAGACTTTGTTACCATGTTTTCTTTTCCTTGCTTAGCTTTCCCCTACCCTTCCTACTTTCCCTACATCTTTAGACATTTTTTCCTATTACACAGTATCAATTATGCCTTTTGATTCTTATTTACACTTTTAGTTTTTCATACCAGAGAAACTATTCCATATTTACACAAGTGTGTCCTATTAATTTCACTTAAGAGTATGGTCTCAATGTGCATCCACTTAGCTATAAATGTCTCTAGTTTCTTTTTCTTTATGGCTGAGTAGTACTCCATTTTATAAAAAACACATCTTTATCCAGTGACAGTGACAAATTTTAAATGGCTCACCTGACCATAGCTCCAGCTTCTATTCTTGATGTCATTAAAGTCTCCATAAAAAATCACCCCAATATCATTCAGGACGTACTCTTCTCTTTCTTTCTCATCGTCCAGATACACAGCATCCTCTGCATCAGGATTTGAATATAATGACCATTACCAAACCAGACTGCTTCCAATTATTATAAGCTTATCTGTGACTAAATTTCAATTTAATTTACCAAGTGAAAACAAAAATAAGTCTTTTGTTTCATTAAGCATAGCTCATTTCCCAATCTTTTTAGCCATGATGAACATACTCAGTAGCAAAGATCAGTCTATAAATGATGACATTTGTCAGAAAAATGCTGACAAAGTCAGGTTTTGGAAGTTCCAAGTAGCACAATTAGATATTTTATGATTCTGGTGCTTCAGTAATTTCAGAATCAAAATTCTGTGATGCTTGTGCAAATCTGCAAGACAGGTAAAAAAAATAATTTGCAGCCTACTAAAGTTAATAGAAAAGTAATTGAATTGAAGATGATTTTTCAAAACAAATCTAGGACACAGAAGACAGAAGCGTTATTATGCCCGGTATGTGGTCCCTCAGGTAGGTGGAGGAAGAAGGCTGTGGGCTGCCTTCTCTTAATGAAAAACCCTTGTGGATGTGTTGGTAGATGTGTGCACACAGCCACCTTCTTGGTCAGCTTTGTCCTCTGCAAAACCTTTCCTTCCTGGTGGCTATAGTCCTGAGGAAGGCCTCACTCCCCATCTGTCTAAGTAGTCATCACTTTGGTAATTAACCCCAGGCTCAGTGTGAGTGCGACAAAGCAACAAAGCATTTTTAACACAGGTAAACTGTACAGGGAGAAGTCACCCCCTAGGTCAGCCCCGGCTGCCTGTGGTATGGTTTATTGCATTACATTTATTAGGCCCCAGTCGTCTGCCACCCCATTCCCTTTTTGGAGGGATGAGGGTTGGTCCTCCTCATTCTCTTTAGTTTTGTTTTGTATCACTCTTGAGTAGTTGTTCTTAGTGGCAGCTACACATTAGAATTATACAGGAGATCTAAAAATTCCCAAATCCTGGTGTTATGATTTGGATCTTAAATATCCCTCAAAGACCCATGTGTGAAAGGCTTGGTCCCCAAACTGTGGTGGCACTGGGAGGTGATGGAACCTTTAGGAGGTGAGCCCTAGAGGGTGGAGGTTAAGAAGTTAAGTGTTCTTGAAGGGGACACTGGGATTCAGGCCCCTTTCCTCTCCTCTTTCCCTCTCTCTCTCTCTCTCTCTCTCTCTCTCTCTCTGTGTGTTTCTCTCTCTGTCTCCCCCCCACCTCTCTCTCTTGTTTTCCCTCCCTCCCACTGAGTCAGGGTCTGCATGCTAAGAAGATACTCAGGGGATTTATGTACACAGTTGATTCTTAGAAGCTTAGACCTCCACTTTGAGCTGATCTGTGGTCATGGAATCCTTTAGTAATTACTTAGTCTCATGTAGTCTCCTGTACTTTCTTGTAGTATTTTATTTTTATTCTCTGCCTCTTGGCTACTATTTGCCTGGTTTCATACTGCTCTATGAATACACACACACACACACACGCATGCACACATGCACGCACGCACATACAGTGGATCCATGTTCCTCTAGTTCTGAAACTACAGTTTAACCACTCTGTTTGAAAATATTTGGAAAAAAAAACAGTATTGCAACTGTTGATATAGCATTAATATTGTATTAAGTAGAATAAGTCATCCAGAGATAAGTTATACAGGAGTAATATGCATAGGTTCTGTACAGATACTGCACTGTTTAATACAAGGGATTTGAGCATCGATGGATTTTGTCATCCTCGGGAGGGCACCTGGAACCACCCCTGTAGATACCAACGATGGCTGTATATTTCAATGTTCAGTAAACAACACACTGGTAAAGTGTACAATTTCATCACCAGGATAATAAGCACATCCTTCACCTTAAACATTTCCTTCACTTCTCTGTGGTCACTTTCTCTCCATTCTGCACCCCATCTTAGAAGTAGGGTTCCATTATTCATCTTTCTGTCACTGTAAACCGTCCAGAATTTTGTATAAATAGAATCATATGATATGTACTTTTTTTTTTGTAGTCTGGATTCTTTCACCCTGGTGCCTTATTTTGGGTGTTGTTGCTGTGCCAATAGTTCATTCTTCCCAGAGCCATTTCATCTTTTCCAGAAGATTCCAGAGTTCCATAACAAGTGTGCCACCATCTTACCTCAGCCCTGGAAAGTATGAGCTATGATGCTGGCTCAGGGCTGAATTCTTGGGGCAGAAAGCTGTTAAGAGCAGCCTGTGTATAGACTGAGGACCTCCAAACTAAAACCACCGTTTCTTTTCCAAGGGGAACTGACCAGAGCTAATGCATAAAGAAGTGACAGCCAAGTTTGAAGATTTGAGATTAATATTTCCAAGAAAATGCATGAAATAACACTTTTATTTTAAAAGAAAATAAGGTGAGAGTATATATGAAGGGCATTGAATATTCATATGTACACAGTTGTCTACCAGATGCTAACATATCCAGAAAATGAAGAGCCACTCACATATTTTTATTTTTTTATTGTAGTCATTTAACTGTTGCGAGAACTGCAATAATAGCCATTTTAGCTAAAAAAAAATTAAATAGTTGCTATAGGGCTAGAATCTCCTCTTAAGTCTTGTGAGGTATGGGAGTGCCATTTGGGAATCTTGAATAATGACACTGTAATGTTTTCCTTTAATATGAAATGTTCATGGACTTGTCCTGTGAGATAGTAGAGTATACTATAAGATACAATATGTAAATAATTGGTAGGAAATATATTAATGGATCAAAACAGTCCAGAAAATAGATGTCAATATATGCACATATATTTCTCTAAAATTAATGTATAAATAAAGGAAAAATCAAAGGCAATGATTAGAGTGTTCATTAATGGAATTTAGAAAATAGGCTGTTAGGGAAAAGTACATTTTATGTACATCAAAATAAACTGAATAAACTTAAAAACTTAAAAGCATAGAAAATCTAGAATAAGATAAAGGTGAATATTTATTTGATCTTTTTATGAGAAAAAACAATTTTTTGAGCACTTGAACTCACTATGTACCACAGGCTGGCCTGATCTCACAGTGATCCTCCTGCCTCAGCCTCCTGAGTGCTGGGATTAAAGGTGTGTACCACTATGACTAGGGAGAAATTTTTATCCAGACAAAAACAATAGAAAAGCTATCAAAGGAAATAATCAATGCATTTTTATTTTATATAAATGTCAAACTTTTGAATTTCAGATGCAATAAAATGTAAAGCATATGACAAATGAAGAAAATATTTCCAACAGTTTTTGCAATTTACTTACAAACACTGACAAATTTTCCTTACATACAAAAAATTCAATAAATTGAAAAGAAAATCATAAAGTATATACAGGAAGTCAGCCTGGGAAAGCCAGTTCATAATTGAGGAAATTTAACTGGAAAGTATATATGTTAAAACCATAAGAGTAAAATGAAATACATACTTTACCTATACGTGTACATATATTTATAATATATATGTATGTATGAGTTTAAAGTTATACTACTCAATACCAGCTACTGTATGATAAATTGCCAACCTACTGCTGGGACTGTAATTGCCACAATATTTTGAAAAGCAACTTGGCAAATGTGTCATTTCTCTTTAAAATTTCCATGGTATTTGCTCCATAGTGTTAATATACATATCCAAGGGAGATAATTCAGAGATGAATCAAAAATATATTTACACTGTTTGTTCATCATATTACTTTCAGTAAAACGTGAGGAAAAAAATGAAATGTTCCCACATTTTTCTATATGATGTAATAGTCATGTAGTCCTTGTGTGTTCTTTGGAGAATTAAAAAAAATAATATAAGTATACCAAAATGAAAACCTAGAATGTGAAACATACAGCCTATATCAAATATGTTTAATTATGTTAAGAAAGAAAAAACAGAAGATAATTTGATCAAGATAACTGTGACATTTGATATTCATTTATGCCCTTATTACTACAGAGTACTTGAAATGACTGAATTCACAATACTACTAGTGGGGCAGGGAGAAAGAGTACCCTCAGCATCTCTAGAAGAATCAAGGATTTCTTGACACACAAAAAATTCACGGGTAGGAAAAATATGAGAAGAAGCATGAGATATGTTCAGAAAGTCCAACATCTGCATTTCATTGTTTAAAAATGTCACAGAAAATAAAAAGGAAAAACATTGTCAAAGATATGAGAAAAACAATTCCTGGAGCTAAAGAAAGTCTTTCCAAAAATAAAAGCACAAAGAAAACAAAACAAAAACCGCATAGATGCAAACTGTTCCTATGTTAAAACTTCAAAGAAAAAGCAGAAATCTTAAAGGCTTTAAACCTCGTATTCTAAATGAAATTGAAAATACCAGTAATGACCAATTTGGATGTAATTTTCTCTTTAAAATTTTCCATTTCTCTTCTTACAAATTTGCATAGGTCTTATGTTAATTTTCAAATTGCTACATACATATACATACATACAGACACACATAAAACTACAGGGAATATTTGGAGGTGGTACACATGTTTATAGCAGAGATTTGGTGATGGTTTTATGGGTGTATAATTAGCTCCAAACTTAAAAAGTTGTTCACTTGTTATATGCATAGCTTTTTGTATGTCAAGCATACCTCAGTAAAGTGGATTTTACAAATTATTTTACTTACACGCAATACATAAATGAGTAAAGAAAAAAAGATGCATTTGCTAGTTCTAGCCAAAAAAAAAAAAATCTAGAAAATAAAGCAGCTAATGTTTTAGCAATGCATGTCTTAAAGCCTGGATTATGGTTTTTGTGCGAGTCAGCTCTCTGAGGCTACGACAAACTACCTGAGATAAACAGTTGATAAAGAGGAAAGGCCTATTTTGTCTCACGGTATAGAAGTTTCAGTCCACGTTCATTTCTTCCTATTACTATTAAGCCTTTAACAAGCCAGTATCTCATGATGGGCCAGTGTGGCAGAAAAGGCTGCTCACCTGATGGCATCCAGGGAGCAAAAAGAGAGACAAGAAGAGAAGGCTTCCCAGTATCCCCCTACAATAACATGTTCCCATGACTTAACTTCCTGCCATT